CCTGTGTCTAGTCCCATCTGATTTTGACAGACAGAACCATGACAATCTGACATCAGTACATTTCCACTGAGTACAAGGACAACTCCAAGCACAAGCAGCTCAAGTCTTCCAGACTCCAGCCAGCAACATTAATTAAATACATTTAATGAATATATCTCCATAAATCAACTAGTGAAACAATATGTCACGGCTGCTAGTATGGTCCAACATGCAGAAACTATGTAAACATATACATACAAAAGGAAAGGAAATAAAAGGACAGAGCGTAAAACTGGACCTTAGAATGGCCGGACTAATATGCTAGAGATAGAGAATGGTCAAAAGGAAAGCCGAGGTCAAGGAAGCCAGAAATACTCAGATACCGTTTAAACAAGCCAAGTCAGGGGAACCAGAATTCGGAATAACCAGGGAAAAGCCAAGATCAGGATACCAGGAAGTAATATTCACAAAGATAAATGCACTCTTGGGAACCAGGAACAGGAAACCACAACAGGTCAAGGTACTGGGGTGAATTAGGGATTTAAATATCCCTCTCTAGACTCTGATTGGTCAGAGGGTGACCTCTGACCCCAGAACGTGCGCGTGCATTGACGTCGTGTCGTCACACGCACGTTCATATAATTTTGGGGGGTGGAGCCATGGATGAACGTGACCTCATGGTTGTCACCATCTTGGATTTCCGCAAGCGGCATGGAGGAACGATTCCCGGCTCACCGCTAAGCAGGTAAGCTCAGTGAGTTGGTGCGGTCATGCCGGTCGGGCACAGACGCACATGGCGGTGAGCCGGGGACCGTGACACAATAGCAGCATATCACAGTTGCCTTTGAAACTAAAAAGTCAAAACAAATCACTGCACCACTAAGGCAAACTAAAAGGTTTTTGATTCACATACCACAGTTTGTGTATTCTAGGTGCCTTAATGTAAATTGTTGCATGGTTTGTTTTCCGTAACTTAACTTTTCTAGGTGCCAGCACACAGTAACATAGTTACGTAGCTGAAAAGAGACTTGTGTCCATCAAGTTCAGCCTTCCTCACATATGTTTTTGCTGTTTCTCCAAAAGAAGGCAAAAAAACTAGTCTGAAGTCCTTCCAATTTTGCAACAAACTAGGAACAAATTCCTTCTTGACCCCAAAATAGCAGTCAGATGTCTCCTTGGATCAAGCAGCTATTACCGCACTAATTAGAAATTATATCCCTATATGTTATGTTTTTGCAAGAATTTATCCAATTGCAGTTTAAACATCTATATGAATTCTGATAAAACCACCTCTTTAGGCAGATAATTCCATATCCTTATTGCTCTTACTGTAAAAAAAAACCTTTTCTTTGCCTTAGATGAAATCTCCCCTCTTCCATCCTAAATGCGTGACCTTGTGTCCTATGTATATCCCTGTTTATGAATAGATTTCCAAATAAGGGTTTGTACTGGCCCTGAATATATTTGTATAATGTTATCATATCCCCTCTGAGGCGCCGTTTTTCCAAACTAAAAAGATTACAATTATTTAACCTTTCTTCATAACTAAAATGCTCCATTCCTTTTATCAATTTTGTAGCTCGTCTCTGCACTTTTCTAGTGCCATAATATTCTTCTTTAGAACAGGTGACCAAAATTACACAATGTGGTCTTACCAGCGATTTATAAAAAGGCAAAATTATATTTTCATCTCGAAGAGTAATGCCCCTATTTATACATGACAAAACCTTACTGGCCTTACCAACTGCAGATTGAAATGGCATATTGCTGCCTAAGTTGTTGTGTATAGCAATTCCCAAATCCTTCTTGTGTGTGGTTACTACCATTTCGGGTTTAAGTTGCTTGTACATTCTTGACCCCGAAGTGCATCACTTTGCATTTCTTTACATTAAATTTTATCTGCCATTTTAGTGCCCAGTCCCCCAATCTATCCAAATCCCTCTGCAGCAAAGCAATATCCTGCTCACATTTTATTGCTTTACAAAGTTTTGAGTCATCTCCAAACACTGAAACATGGCTTTCAATGCCTATTTTAA